CGCCCTCCCAGAAGCCTTGTGATCCTGCTCCCCCCCCCCACCTGCTTTCCCCTGCCCTCCACCTGCTCCCCCCATCCCTCCATTCCAGCAAGCTCTGGACCTACTCCAATCTGGTGCATGGAGTGAAGCCCCAGCCCAGCCTGGTAGCAGAGGCAGCATCATGGTAGCTGTGTCCCCAGCCAGACAAGGGAACTTCATAGGTAAAGCCAGTTTCTTCCAACCTCTATGCAGGGCTTGGGGACATGGAATGCAGAAAATCTCCAAATGGGAGAATAAAGAGGTAAGAGGTTAGTGATGGATATAAAAAACATAGACAGCCTGAGAGATTTCAACTGGGTGCAGGAGGAAACTCAGGGGGGCTTTCAGAGATACAAGAAGCTTGGGCAGGTGAGAGGGAGAGAGGGGCCTGCTGTTGCAGCAGAGAAGTGCAGTTTAATCATTGGACAAGCTAATGGAGCAGGAAATTGGCTGTACACAAAAAAGAGACTATGATCAAGTGGAAAAGACACGTGCAGGATGACAGGATCCTGGTGTCCCCAGAGGGTATGTCTACACATTCTATTAATGCAATATAGGCTTACTGCACAGTGTAACAGTGGTACAGTAAGCTTTCCCCAGGAGCGTGTCTACAAGCACACCCTGTTTGGAGCAAATCTGCTCCCAATGGGAGCAGCCTAGTACAGGGCTGCTCCTGCCCTGCTCTGGCCCCCAGCAGCAGACAGGGGGAGCTCCAGGCTCCCTGCAGTGCTAGGCAAGAGGTTGGCAGGGGGTATAGGGACCAGCCCCAATGTGCACTGGGCCAGGACAGTTCTGCCAGCTGAAGCAGCAGCTGTCTCTTGGCCCCACGCACATCAGAAGAAGTCCTGATGTGCACATGGCTGGGAAACAGCTGCTGCTGGAGCCCACAGAGCTCTCCTGGCCCTTTGCACATTGGGATATACAGCTGACAGGAAGCACTTTGCCCAGTGGGGCTTCACTATTCAGCACAGGGCTCACCAGGAGCTGTCCCACTCCTGGGGCAGCTGCTGGCCAGTCCTCTCCTGAGCAGGGAAGCCCTGCCCAACCCAGGGTGGGAAAGGTCCGGCCAGCCCCCTGCTGGATGGGGAATCCCTGCCCAGCAGGGGGCTTGCTGCCAGCTGCCCCACAAGTGGGGCAGCTGCTGGTGAGTCCCCAGCTGAGTGGGGAAGCAGAGATTTTCCCAGCCCTGATGCTGCTCAGCTCCCAGCTCCTGGGTGAGGTGGAGTTGTAGGGGGAGAAAGTGACACTGTCCTGGTGCTGACTGGCTCCTGGGGGGAGCTGGAAGCTGAGCAGAGCCAGGATTAAGGACAGAGAACTCCCCCGTCCCTGTGGCCTGCTGCTGGTGTGGCTGATGGGGAGCAAATTTGTTCCTAGTCAGCATCTGCATGAGCACTAGTGTGCAGTAACTACTGTGCAGTTAATCTAGTACCTGTATTTACAGGTAATAGGTAACTGCACAGTAGACTAATTTACTGTGCAGTAAATGCCACACACATGTAGACAACAACACTTTACTGTGCAGTAGTTTAGTCTACTACACAGCAAAACATCTTGTGTAGATGTGCCCAGAGAACTCTGACCTAAGTTCCAGGAACACTCAAGAAAGGGGAGTAACCTGGGAAAGGGGGACGCATGCAGGCATACATTCTTTGAGCCACATCTGCACATTTCTTGTACTAGCTACAACAGAGAGTGATTGGCTTTTGGGACCTTTACAAAACCTGTGCCTATTTACTTCCACTAACATTGTCCCTTAAACACAAAACACCCCCAAGGTTGGAACTCTGGGAAATGGTGTGCTCAAACTACTGGTGTACTTGCAGGCAGCACTAGTCCTGAGAGACTACGGCAGTTGGGCTGTGAGGTCCCCTTTCTGTTAAGGGGTGATGGACAGAGCCTGTGCCCAGAAAGCACACTGGAGAAACCAAGGAAAGTCAGTGCTGCATGTACTCAGCCCACAGGAAGCTTAAAGCACACAAGCTCAACACAGTGGCTATTCCACCAGGGCCACATGATATGGTGGTAGCAGCTTGAGATAAGTGTGGTAGTATGTACATTTAAAAAAAGAGGTTTTGCAAAGGCCTAGCCCATTCTACTCTGAAAAGTGAAAGCCAAGTGCAGATCTGTTACTGTTATGGGTAAAGCTAGACAGTAAGTACAAATTATCTCCAGCTCAAGTGAGGTCACTTTCTGAGCTTGTGTGCACAAAGATTTGTCTGCTGCTGATCAGACAACTTGAGGCTACGTTATGGCAAAAGGACCTGAGGCAGAACAAGGTACCTGCCCCAAACAAGGGACCAAATGAAGACACCTTTTCTCCGGTGGGACTTGCAGGTGGCCAGAGAGCTGTTGTCAAAGATGATTTCATGGATGACTCAGCATGACAGGTGTTTCATGGAGGAAAAATTAGTAGGACCCAGCCAGGTGGAGTTGCAACCCTAAACTTACCCCAGCTCTGAATGAACTGAGGTGCTACATCTGCCATGAACTAGGGCAACAATAACCAACGGCCGTTTACCAGGGAACTGGTAGTACAGATTAACTGCCAGCAGGGGACTGGTACATCATTTCACAGGTGCAGCTAGCTAACCTAGTGCATGGAAACAGAGGGTCATGCACCATACATGCAACTTGGATTAACACACTGATCTCCTGTACGTCTTGTTGGGTCAGACAGTAGATATACAGATTCCTAGGGGTGTACCCAACTTGAGGAGGCAGATAGCTGATTTCACAGGGAGATCGTAGGGCTGGCCACCATTTTCGTGCACTGATCATGGTGCCCCCCTGCCCCACCTCTGATTGGTAGAGGGACCTTGGTGGCCCTGCCCCTCACCACTGATTGGTTGCGAGAGCTGTCCACCATGCAGCCCTGGCTCCTCACTGACGGTTGGTGGAGAGGGGTTGGACCACACAACAGGAAGCTCTCTCAGCCAATCAGCAGTGAGGGGCAGGGGTAAATAGCCATCTTGGGCTCCCCTTCATGCTGGCAGCCTCCCACCCCCTTTTCCCCTCAGTAGGCTGCACAGCCAAGCTGCAGTGTCACGAGGACTGCTGGCTCTCTCTGGGGGAGCCAGCATTTTACTTTCAGCAAGTTTTTAAGCTTTTTTGTTTTGTTTTTGCAGACTTTGCAGGTATTGCCAGATTTCACAGGTAATAACAGATGTTGCAATTGCCACAAGTTCTGCAAAATCGCAATTTCTGTATGTCCCTACAGATCACCAATGGAAACTGCAGAGGCGAATCTTTGGGCAAATACACTGGAGAGGCACTAAGACACCAGAATCATCTGTATCCAGGACAAATCATTTGCGGCTTATCTGAATCAGATCCCTGCTGACACCGAGATATAGGTAATGGTCCCTGTAGCAGGTCAAGGGGGTTTAGAAGGGAGAAGCCCCCTTTCCCTTTACTTGTATGCCAGCAAAGATCCCTGCTGGTGTGGGGAGATGCAGCTGGACCTGTAGGCACCGCACCACAGAACTCGCAGCCAGCGTGCTGTCAACTGGAAGCCCTGTCTGGGAAGCCCCAGCTGCTGGTGAGGGAGGCCCTGGCCGGAAGTGGCCCAGTTCATGTGCTGAGCCCTGGGGAGCATTCTGCCCCACAGGAGAAGAGTCCTGGCCCTAACTCATGCCAGGTGGGCCCTCCTCCCACATGGGGCATGAGCTGCAGCTGGAAGGCAAGTCACAAAGTGGACTGGCTGGACACACCTCAGGGCAGAGATAAAAGACACCGGAACTGACAAGAGGGACCCTTGGATGACGGATGAAGGCACACACACCAGAAGAGGGGGAGAGGCAGACTGCCAACATTTCATAGAATCGTAGAAAATTAGGGTTGGAAGGGACCTCAGGAGGTCAACATATCCAACGCTGTGCTCAAGGCAGGACCATCCCCAACTAGATCATCCCAGCCCAAGCTTTGTCTAGCTGGGTCTTAAAAACCTCCAAGGATAGAGCTTCCACCACCTCTCTATGCAATATGTTCCAGTGCTTCACCACCCTCGTAGTGAAAAAGTTTTTCTTAATACCCAACCTAAAATTCCCCTGCTGCAGCTTGAGACAATTGCTCCTTATTCTGTTATTTGCCACCACTGAGAACAGTCTAGCTCCGTCCTCTTTGAAACCACCCTTTAGGTAGCTGAAGGCTGCTATTAAATCCCCTCTTAGTCTCCACTTTTCTAGATTAAATAAACCCAGTTCCCTCAGTCTTTCCTCAGAAGTCATTTCCCCCAGCCCCCTCACCATTTTTGTTGCCCTCCGCTGGACTGTCTTCAATTTGTCCACATCCTTTATGTAGTGGGGGGCCCAAAACAGAACACAGTACTTCCAGATGTGGCCTCACCAGTGCTGAATAGAGGGGAATTATCACTTCTCTTAACCTGCTGGCAACACACCTACTAATACAGCCCTGTATGCCATTAGCCTTCTTTGCAACAAAGGCACGCTGCTGGCTCATATTCAGCTTATTGTCCATTGTAACACCCAGGTCCTTTTCTGTAGAGCTGCCGCCCAGCCAATCAGCCTCCAGCCTGTACTAATGCATGAGAATGTTCTATCCTAAGTGCAGGACTTTGCACTTGTCCTTGTTGAACCCCATGAGATTTCTTCTGGCCCAATCTTCCAATTTGTCTAGGTTACACTGACAAATTGAAGGATTAAGCCAAAAGAAATGTCATGATTTCTTTATTTTTGTACTAGATGGACTGTCAGGAATTCCCAGTATGAGTTCAGGGAGTTACTGTGGACTGGCCATAGCTGCAGGCTGGGCCCTGGAGCATTGGGTTATCAGCTGGGGCCTTTGCTGAGAGACCAAGCTTAGGCCATGTATACGGCTCTGTCCCAGGAAGAGGCTGGAGATTACAGGAAATTGAAAGATGTGATATTATATAGAATGGAGGTGTCCACACAAAGTTATCACATTTGGTTTCGGGCAAAGAAAGGTAAAGATGAAAAGCGGCCATGGGTCTTGTTGCAGGCCCTGAAAGATCTGGCCCAGAAGTGGCTCAAACTGGTGGTACTGTCCCCGGCTGAGGTAACAGACATTACTGTCTTACTGGGGACTTTGCAGATGGTACTCAACTGTGGTTCCAGAGGCACCAATCTCAGTCCTTCAAGGAAGCCCTAAAGTTGGCTGAGGCTTTCACCGAAGTGGAAAGGGTCAATGCCCTGGAGAGGAGACCTAAGATGATTTTGCCCATCGGCCGGGGGTTTCGAGGAGGACTGTTGGAAATCCACAAACCCAAATGAGGCAGGTTATGGAAAGAAGAGCAATGTTACACATGTAGGGAACAAGGCCACAGGGCTTGGATGTGACCCAAGCCACAGGATGAACGAGGATCACTATAGAGAAAAGCACACTTGCGCAAGGTGAAGGAAGAGGCTGTGAAGCCGGAGCAAACGGACTGTAGTTTTGGCTTCAACACTGAGAAACTGCTGCCTTGCCCCATGATGGCATTGCCACTGGAAGACCAGGAGTACTGGGCATGTAGATAAGGGGTGTACTCAAACCCTGGTGAAAGCCTCATTGATCCCTGCCAGAATGGGTAAACCAGCCTCTCCAACGAAATTGACATGTGTGCATGGAGAAAACCAGATATATCCTTTGTGAAGGCTGAAACTAAGGGTGTTGGGATGGATGAGGGAGTTGCCGGTAGGATTAGATCCTCAACTTCTACGTCCCATGATATTGGGCAGAGATTGGCCAGATCTCAAAGGGGTTTTCTAAAAGGTAACCGAGGTCCCAGAAACCTCACGTCTCTGGAGGGGCGAGACGGAGGGGATGGATGGGCAACCTGACGATGATGACAATGAGAAGGATGAGAGCACAGGTGGAGAATGAAAAAATATTTCGGGGGGCTGAGTGCATACATGCATGTGCACCCCCCTAATAAGTCTGTGGGGGGAGGGGCAGGAGGAGGGGAAGGGCCATATCGGGGGGCAGATCAAGGCCCCAGCGGTGAGGGAGGGAGTGGGATCTTCCGAAACCAAGCTTATCTCATTTCCCGATTCAGGGCTCTGCCTCCCCTACACCCTGCCTTACACCAACCTTAAAATGTTATCTTCTGCTCACCTCTAAGGTGAGCTACAGCAATAATTTTTTTGTCTTGGATTTTTTGGTTTTAAAGGAAAATAGAGTATGGATCTCACTTGGCCTGAGCTCCCCGTTGTAGCAAAGACTTGCTCGTGGTCCCTGCTATCCCTGGGTTACACCTTGTTACAAGTGATGTCCTTGCCTCTCTGTTATGTAGTTATTTTGGTCCAGGCTCCCAGCTCTGTGTTCCCTTTGCAGGGCTCTTGGCCATCCATTCCCATCTGGAGTCATCCGAGATCCACACCTTGTCTTCAGGTATGTACTTTAGCCCTTGTGGGATTTTCCTTTCTTTGTGTGGCGCCTCCTGGGGCAGCCACCACTTCTCCTCCCTGGAGTTCCCTCCTCCTCGGGGCTCTTCTGGTCCCACCGGAAGCTTCACTCTCAATCCTCCTGACTCCACTCCCGGCGGAGCTTTTAACTCTGCCCTAAGGGGCCAGGCAGCAAATCAGTGCCAGCACACTGCCATAAAATGGGTTCATGACGGGGCAGGAGCTGAACCCGGCTCTTCCTGGACCTGTTGTGCCTTTTCTTTTCTTTTTTTTCCTTCTTTCATGACTGCAGCAGTTTTCTCTGCTGCAGTTTTGCTTCTACCAGAGTTCTGGTTTGCAACTGCACCCCGCTGGCTCGGGAGCTCTTCCCTTTGGGGTAAGTTTTCCTTCAGGGCATTGCCCCCTATCACAAGGGTCTAATGGCCAACCCCCAAAAAATGTCAATTAGGCCAGAGGGAAACTAAATATTTGGATTTCATGGTAGGCCGGTGCAAGATCCAGCCCATAATGAACAAGGTAGAGGACTTGCAAATGTACATTAGGCCAAGAAGCAAAAAAACAGGTTTGGTCTTTTGTGGGCCTGCCCAACTATTATTGAAAATTTATTCCCCACTTCTTTGAGATGGCGACCCCACTCAATGACTGGCATACAAGGTCAAGTGAGATGGACGAAAGAAGCCCGAGTAGCTTTCAAAAACATTAAGAAATCCCTGTGCGGAAAATCCGTATTCTATACACCTGACTTCAGTAAGCCATTCATCTTGGAAACTGATGCCTCATGGACTGCCCTGGGCACTGTGCTGACACAGAAGGTCGACAGAGAGAATAGGCCAGTAGCCTATGCAAGTCGCAGACTCCTGGACCATGAAACACAATATTCCACCATATAGCATGAATGTTTGGCCATCAATTGGGGAATGGAACTTTTTCAGTATTATTTGTTAGGCCAAGAGTTCACACTCTTCACTGATCATGCGCCCCTCAAGTAGCTACAGTGCTACAAATCCGATAATGCCCGGATTATGTGATGGATGTTAGCACTACAGCTGAACCACTTTAAGACAAGAATACAGACCAGGGAGGGAAAATGTAGCTGTCGACTTCTTTTCCCGTCAACATGAACCTGAACTCCTCCCAAGACCTAAAACCAAGAAGTGCTCAGAGAGCTCTTCCACTGAGGACATCCCAAAGATAAGTCAAAGGGACAGGGGTGCTCACAGCTTAAGAGGGGGGATGTGTAGCAGGACAAGGGGGCTTAGGAGGGAAACCCCCCGCTCACCCGCTCTTCTTTACCTGTGTGCCAGTAAAGATCCCCACTGGCTCAGGGCAACATGGCCAGAGTGCTAGGGACTGCACTGCAGAACTCATAGCCAGTATGCCGCAAACTGGAAGCCCCAGCTACTGGTGAGGGAGGTCCTGGCCAGAAGTGGTCCAGTTCATGTGCTAAGCCCTGGGGAGCACTGTGCCCCACAGGAGAAGAGTCCTGGCCCTAACTCATGTCAGGTGGGCCCTCCTCCCACAGGGGGCATGAGCCACAGCTGGGAGGCAAGCCCTGATGCTGACTGGCTGGATGCGCCTCCGGGCAGAGATAAAATAACACTGGAACTGATGAGAGGGGCCCTCAGATGATGGATGAAGGCACACACACTGGAAGAGGGTGAGAGGCAGCCAAGCGGACTGTCAAGAATTCCTGCTATGAGTTCAGGGATTTGCTATGGAGATGTGCCAGGCTAGCATGATGGTCTGCATTCAATTGATGTGATGACCGAAGCCTGAGTCTGGTAGGACTGTGAACCCATACAGAGGCCTGTGGCAGAAGTGTAGGGGTGGAGGAGTTTCCAATCCAGACCCCATAAGGTTCATGCTAACAGGCATCTAGGGATATTACAAGTCTAACAAGGGATACATCCAGACCAGATGAGGTATCGTCTCTCACTGAGGCAGAAATCTACTGATTATTTTCCATCAAGTCATAGCATGTGAGAGTCTCAGCAAGGTAAAGTTCTCTCCAAGGAGGGCAATAAGAGGGGCAGCTGTGCCCCAGTGCCAGCTTTGCCACAGTCCCTATGATGAACTCATCCCCCTGTCAGTAACCTACATTAATATGAGCTTTCATGAATTCTCCTAGGAAATGATGACGTGAAATGATGCAACAAAGTTAGAACCTGAGTGCTGAGTTACAATTCATCAAGAGTAGACTCAGTAGCACCAGGGCAAGCTTATCATTTACCTTTACTGGGGAAACAAATTTGGTGGTGACTGTGCTTGAAGTCAAAACCAAACTTGCCCTGTGCCCTGGGCCAGATATGGGTGGTTAGACTCCTTATGGGCCACATCTGGCACTGGCCTACAACAGTGAGACAAACACACACAGGCCAGGAGGCCACTTGCTATGGTGGAGGTGGCACAAGGGGCAGCAGGTAAGGAAGGGCTTTATGGGCACAGCCCTCACTTGCCCCTCTGCCACTCATGGCAATGTCTTCCAAGGTCCTGGATTCTGTGGCAGGCCATGCCCACTGCTGGCCATACCTCCAAACTCTGTGGCAACACCAGTAGCCCAAAAGGCTGGACGGAGCATCTCTGTGGATCACATCTCTGTGGCTGTGGTTTTCTCCATGGCATGTGTGCATGGAGAAAACCAGATATATCCTTTGTGAAGGCTGAAACTAAGGGTGTTGGGATGGATGAGGGAGCTGCTGGTAGGATTAGATCCTCAGCTTCTACATCCCATGATACTGGGCCGAGATTGGCCAGATCTCAAAGGGGTTTTCTTGGATGTGCGACACCCCTGCACTAGCTGGACATGGGGATAATGAGACACAACTGAAAAGAGCTATGAGTCAGAATCCATTTGAGAGAAGGGGAAACTGAGGCACACTTCCAGGGAGACAGACAAACTCCTCATAATACTCTTAATCAATCTCATGTGTAGTAACAGGAGATTCATTTCCAGCTGCAGCAAACAATCAGCTGATACTGTGAAGCACTGGATTTGATTATTCATATCACAATCATACCCTGCATAACTACAAACAATATTAATGGCCATAAAATTATCCAGCTGGCTTTTAAAACCAGCCAGAACTTTTGCCTCTGTGCTTTCCTGTAGCAGTGAACTCCATAGGTTATGGAAAGGAGCACTGCTTCTTACTGGCTTATGCTTTGCTACATTTAAATTTCCTCTTTTCTCTTGGTTTCATATTATGGCACAAGACAAAAAAGGCCCAGGGGTTTCTTAGATTCCCACATGGTCTACATAATCTTAAAATACATCAAACACAGATTACTCCCTGCATCCTTTTTCTTTTCAAAGCTCAATTACACCAAGCCCTGATACATAAACCCCTCCCCATAAGATAGGGAGAGCTATGGAAAGAGTCAAGGAAAAACAAAGGATGATAATTACACTGGGCCCATAGTTCTGTTGTCAGTTCTGGGCCAGTGCTATACAGAAGGGCCACAGACAGTGTCAGGGGATTATGTCAAAATTGGACCGGGGAGGAAGGCTCGCATTCAATCTCAAGTATCAGGTTCCTTTAATGTGAGCTGCTGGCATGAGTTATAGCTCATGTTGCCTTGCCTTTCCTGTTATTTCTCTGAGTTAGCTAAGTCAGATTAGCTAGCCCAAGCTAAGAACTCATACACTTTTCTGTAGTGTAAATACACCTAAGAATCTAATACTGCACTGGCTGGCAGGGCTGCAAACATCTGTTGTATGCCAACTGGGTTGCTGCAGTTTTCAGTGATACAACTGCCTTATTAGACCTCAAGACTTCACACTTTACAAGGGCTGCACTCAGACAGCATTCACCCAAGCTGCTTTTGTTCAAAATGTTTTTTTGCAGCCACTGGCTTCAATGGCCAGGAAGAGAAACTAACTATTCATACCACCTGTAAAGCACAGTGGAATCCCAGTGTTCAAACAGCATCCAGCATCAGACTATGGCAATCTGCTGTTTATTGGTTGCCAGAATCAAACTGGGGGACAAAAGGAGTAACCAGGATAACCGGATTTACAATCCAGGATCTGTGGAGGCCAGAAACTATGCAGCAGAACCATTTAACTTGTACTCTGAAAATTAGCCGAGGACAACTGAGCAGAAAGAAAGGTTTTGATTTTTTTGGAGGTGGACTGACACTAGGATATTCATGTCCATCTGAAAAGCATTGGCTGTAGACATATTTACACCGATCTTTCAAGTGGTGCAACCCTCTGTGACAAGGCTTCTATTCTAATTGAATTTACACCCAACCCTAACCCATTGAAACTAAAATGAAATACACATGGTGTCAATCAAAAATAAGAGATATCCTGCTGACAAGGGATGAATTTCCTGGTTTTGCTAAAGCAGAAAAATATCCCACTGGTATAATTTAACTGTTTCTGTATAACTCCATTGTGTCAACACAGGTTTTTTGCTAAAAGTAGTTTAATCCCAAATAATTACTACACTCTTGAAGTAGACTAATTATTCTAATAAAGTGACTTTATTCCAGAATAGTGTGTGCACATGAGGGAGTTATTCTGGGATAATAACTCTGCTTCCTGCGAAATTGGTCAATTCCACTGTGCAGTCTGCCTCCCAGATTTTGCCCTGGTTTGAAAGAATCATTGTAAAATTCCATCTCCAACTAAACTGGTACAACTTCAGCTTAGACAAGGCCTAAAATAAGCCTTACACTGGAACAGGAGCAATAGCCTCAAACTGCTTCAGAGGAAATTTAGGTTGGAAATTAGGAAGAACTTCATGACAGCAGCATTGAAACAAGCTGCCTAGAGAAACTGTGGAATCTCCATCCCTGGAAGTTTTCAAGAGCAGATTAGACAGATGCTTGGTTAGGATGGTTTAGTCATAGATGATCCTGCCTTGAGCAGGGGGTTAGAATAGATGACTTTATGAGGTCCGTTCTAGCCCTACTTGCCTATGATCCTATGACCCTAGAAGGAAATATAAAAATGACCTGCCTGTTTGGATCCTTCTTCACCTCATCATTTGACAGTCCAAAAGGGAGGGATGAGTTCTTCATCACCTTCTCTTGCCTTACACAATCCATCACAGGGAATGTCATACAGAAGACTGCAGATAAGTGAGCAGGGTGGTTAGGGGATGGATCTTCTTTTGTGTATTTCTACCAAGGGTTTGAACTTTACACACTGTTGTTGCACTTGATGCAAATGCAGTGCTCTGGAACCCATACAAATAAAACCTCCAATAAAAAAATCCTATAATTAAGCTACCTGAATTTATGCATTAAAAGCTGCTCGAGTTCATGTGGACGGGGCTCTGCCCCTCCTCCCCAGTGCCAGGAAAGTCTCCTCCTTGCACTTCAAACCCTGTAATCACATCCATGGAGCCCTCTTTTGTAAAGCAGCATTGGGGATGTAATTAGTCTGAGGTGACCTCTGCAAAAAAAAAAGTTCAAGTTTAAAAAGAAAATATCTCTGGTTAATGCTATGCAAATTGCCAGAGAGGCAATCAGACTGACTTTTTAAAAGCTGGCCCCCGTCGGAACTGCTCACAAGACAGGCTTATTGTCTTTCTATCAATTTCCATCTCATTACCCACAATGCTGTGCTCTGGAGGTAACCTTTTGGGGGGCATGCTGCAGAAGAGTGGAAGCTGGGGATAATACAATTACTAGTGTTTACAAGGATTTAATGTGGTTGGGCACCTGAAATGCAATTGTTCCAACACTCAGCCTGCTGTCCTCCCTTGTAGCCACCTTCCTTCCTGCCGGCTGGCAAACACTGCTGAAGCAGTTTCAGTCCTTTTCGCACCTCCAGCACATGCACAGGAGAGCAATGTGTTTAGCAGCCAGCTCTGCTGAGACTAGAGATATCAGTCACTGCAGCGCAGTGCCCCTGAAATAGTTCACTGCATCAGAGCTCACCGTCCTGCACTATAGTTGTCAGGCCCTCCTGCCCCCCACCCTGGACTCTCAGCCCCTCAATATTGCATGATGGCTATTTGCTAATGGAAAATGTCATTCAAAACAGCCAAGGTAGCAGAGACAGGGAGGCAGCAGGCCAATTGCTCCACATGGAAAAACTGAATGAGTCTTATGATATAAGGCACTAACAGTTCAACACAGACCATCCTCTCTCCCTTCTTCTATCCATTTCCATGTGCCCCTCCGGGTGTCTCCATTCTCCTTCCATTCCCTCCCATTTTGCCTCCATTAACAGCCCTCTTCTCCCTCTTCCTCCTGCCTTCCCCCATGCAGGCCCATTCGACCAAATATAACACGACCAAATATAACAGAACCACCGTACAGAAGAACGCTTGTAAGAGGGGAGCTGAGGGGATACACCGGGACAGGACAGATCTAAGGAAAACGCAAAGTACCACAACCTGCTACTTTGCATCACATCCACCCTTTGAGGAGCATTTCAGCACCTCGACTCAATTTGCACGGAGTCCCAATTACAATTTTCTTCAGGTCACTAAGCAGCAGAGAGGTTTACATTTGCTTGCTTAACTCATAGGATCACTTCAAAGCAGCATCTTACATTTTCCTGGGACCTGCTCCAAGACAGACACCTCCTCCTTTTCACGTTCTTCCAAAGCCTTCCACGGTCTCATTTCTAAACCTCTGCCTTCATGTGCCCCTTGCCTGCCTATGTTAGTGTGAGTGGCCACACCTTATCTTTCTGTTTCATCACATCCCTTTGTCATTTCTCTGGTAACCTCCCCCGCCCTCCTTACTCTCCTCGGAAATACGTCCTGAAAAGACATTGCTCTATAAGCAAGTCAACAGGAAGAAGTTAGGAAGAAATGTGAGCTTCCTTAGTAAGGTATTCTGGGGGTAGGATGAGTTATTAGATTATCGGTGCCTTGAGGGACTGTTGTTGGATATATTTTTGTACGGTGCCCAACACAGTCCAAACTGACATTTAGGTGCTACTTACAGAATAAATATTTTTATTTAATAAATGATGAAAGCATTTTCAAAAGTGTATCCCAGACACGTTTTCAAAGCACTGTAACTCTTCTGGGAATTTGTATTAAACTTTGCAGAAATGCTGTACCCTGCACAAGAGCTGCAGCATGTCAGGAATGAGGGGAAAACGGAGGGAAAGAAAACAGACTTGTAGACTAGGGACAAAAGTTACATATAAAGCGGTTTAAGTGATCAGAAACTGGTTTAACCCCGTAACAGAACAGAAGTTCATGCACATAAACCAATTTCAAAATGGCTGAAATGGGTTTAAAATAAACCTGGTTGAATGCAGAATCAGACTTAACTGATTTGGGTCAAAATGGTTTATGAAACTTCTGTCCCAAACCCCTTCCTGGTTCAAGTTAAATCCCAGTCCCCCCCCCCCCCCAATATTCTTTTTAGCCCTGGGCTGGGCTGTGCCGTCTGCTCCAACAGAAAAGGGTTGTGGGGAGAAGGGGAGGGGAGGCCCCAGCTGGGGTCTGGGGCACAGAGGGGGTTAAATTTCCTTTCCCCCAGTACAGAGCTTCCTTGTCCCTACTAAAAACTTACTGATAGCTGTGACTGTGGACTACAAATCCCAGAGGCCCCTGGAAGCAGGAAGAGGAGGTGATGAGAAATCCTGCAGAGTCCTGCTACTGTGATTCTGGACGGCAAATCTCAGAGACCTCTAGGGCAGCAGGGAGATGAAGCGAATACACAGCCAGCGCCGGCTACATGCCAGAGAGCTGTGCTCTAGCACCCCCTGGCTTCTGGCCTGAACCACTGTAATGTGGTTGCATTTCCTGAATCAAAAATGAATGTCTGTCGAGATGTTTCTCAGTTTAATCTTTGCAGCTTAGACTAACCTGCAAAGATGGAATCAAGTCAGCCTCAGGCTCTTCACTGTCTGTACTTAGCTGTAAAGAGAAACAAGTGTCAACCAGTTTGGCAATAAAACAACTGGTTCCCACTTTCCATAGTCAACTAACATGCTAGCACCACCAGTTGCAGCATCAGAATTAAGCTCTGAGCTGCAGTGCTGCACTGCAACTCTAGGCTACCAGTTGCAAATGCTGAATCAACGTTAGCCTTAGAACAGTAGTTCTCAGCTTTTTTTTTTCACTTGAGGCATCCACAGTTTGACTACAGACACCCCTCCGTAAGTGTTGTGAATTGAGCACCACCTCATTTTTTTAAATTATGTATTACTATACTTACCTCCTTGCAGAAAGGCAGAGCAGTGGCCAGCAAAGGAGGAGCCTGAGCCTGCATTTATCTCCTCATATGCTGAGGCGTCCTTCAAAAGTTCTCATGGCACCCTGATTGAGAGTCATTGCCTTAGCAGCACTAGCATGACAATGAGCAGCTACCTGCCCAGGATCCAGCAGCTGCATCAAAGAGACCAGTGATCAGCCTCCTCAGAGCTACTGGTTCAGTGTGCAGTAGAGAGGCCTGAAATGCAGAATGGAAGCTAATGCCCCCTTGTGTATGACACCCAGCCAGGTACATCAGGGCAACATTTAGGAGAGAATGAGCTTGGAATATCAGCATTATCCTCTGAGGAAGGCAGGCATGGCACCTTGGCTCAGCTTAAGTAGGGATTCTTAGATCTTCCTCTCATTTCAGGCCTCCATGACCTCCCTCTCTGATGTGCTTCAGGCTGCTCTGATCTTTTGCTTCTTCCAGTAGCTTTGAACCTCTCTCATCTGTTCTCTTTGAATCACTTGGGTCCTCTCCTTTTCTGGAAGCTACAGACCAGGGGTAGATTTGGAGGTGGGAGGGGGGACTGGAACAATCACATCCTGCTTTGATTTTTGTTTCACTCAAAGTTTAAAACAAACGGCATGGCAAGGACAGCTGCATTTCTATTCATGAGAAGCTGAGAAAGTCAACTGACTTCATGGCTCATTATGATTTACCTGATTCCTGCTTATATCTTCATTCCAAATGTGTTAATAATCCTTGGTCTTCCATTAATCAAGCTATCCTTTCTTAGACAATTATCCTATCTGTTACCTACTCTTGATAATGTTTCTCTGATCATCCCTCAGCATTCCCAGTAAAGGAATCATTTACTTAGCCATAAAGGAAAATAGTGTCAACCAGCATGGCAATCAAACAACTGG